GTGGAGAATCTGGCCCCGACTCCCCACGGGAGACCATCCGCCGCGGATGGGGGCCCTCGCGGCCCTCGCGGAGCCACCCCAAATGCTCTGTCTGCGGCAAGGGGTCTCCCGTGGAGAATCTGGCCCCGATTCCCCGCGGGAGACCATCCGCCGCGGACGGAGGCCTCGGGGCTCTCGGGGAGCCACCCCAAATGCTCTGTCCGCGGCGGGGGGTCTCCCGTGGAGAATCTAACCCCGATTCCCCACGGGTGACCATCCGCCGCGGACGGGGCGTTTATTGACGCCCCCCCCGGTGGCGCCCCCTGGGCCCGACACCATGCGAAACGGGACCCCCCGAGAGAAGCCTCAAAAGGCCCGACACCATGCGAAACGGGACCTCCCGGGGCGGGTTTTCGGGGGCCCGACACCATGCCAAACGGGACCTCCCGGGACCACGTTTTCGCGGCGTGACACCATGCCAAACGGAACCTCCGGTGTCCGCGGCGGGGTGTCTCCCGTGGAGAATCCAGCCCCGATTCCCTTCGGGAGACCATCCGCCGCGGACGGGGCCCCCAGGGAGCCCCCCAACGAACCCTGTCCGCGGCGGGGTGCCTCCCGTGGAGAATCCAGCCCCGATTCCCCACAGGAGACCATTCGCCGCGGACGCGGCACTCGGGGAGCCCCCCAACGGGCCGTGTCTGCAGCGGGGTGTCTCCCGTCGAGAATCCAGCCCCGATTCCGCACGGGAGATCATCGGCCGCAGACGGGGGCCTCGGGGAGCTCCCCATCAAGCCCTGTCCGCGGCGGGATGTCTCCCGTGGAGAATCTGGGCCCGATTCCCCACGGGAGACTGTCCGCCGCGGACGGGGCTCTCGGGGAGCCCCGCAACGGGACCTGTCCGCGGCGGAAGCTTTCCCGTGGAGAATCTGGCCCCGATTCCCCGCGGGAGGCCATCCGCCGCGGACGGAGCTCTCGGGGAGCTCCCCGACGGACCCTGTCCGCGGCGGGGTGTCTCCCGTGGAGAATCTGGCCCCGATTCCCCACGGGAGACCATCCGCCGCGGACGGGGCCCTCGGGGAGCTCTCCAACGGGCCGTGTCCGCGGCGGGGTGTCTCCCGTGAAGAATCTGGCCCCGATTCCCCACGGGAGACCATCCGCCGTGGACGGGAGCCTCGGGGCTCTCCGGGAACCACCCCAAATGCTCTGTCCGCGGCGGGGGGTCTCCAGTGGAGAATCTGGCCCCGATTCCCCACGGGAGACCATCCGCCGCGGACGGAGGCTTCGGGGCCGTCAGGGGGCCACCCAAAATGCTCTGTCCGCGGCGGGGGGTCTCCCGTGGAGAATCTGGCCCCGATTCCCCACGGGAGACCATCCGCCGCGGACGGGGGCCTCGGGGCTTTCGGGGAATCAACCCAAATGCTCTGTCCCCGAGTCCCCACGGGAGACCATCGGCCGCGGACGGGGGCCTCGCGGCCCTCGGGGAGCCACCCCAAATGCTCTCTCCGCGGCGGGGGGTCTCCCGTGGAGAATCCAGCCCCGATTCCCCATGGGAGACCATCCGCCGCGGACGGGAGCCCTCGCGGCCCTCGCGGAGCCACCCCAAATGCTCTGTTCGCGGCGGGGGGTCTCCGGTGGAGAATCTAGCCCCGACTCCCCACGGGAGACCATCCGCCGCGGACGGAGGCCTCGGGGCTCTCGGGGAGCCACCCCAAATGCTCTGTCCGCGGCGGGGGGTCTCCCGTGGAGAATCTAGCCCCGATTCCCTACGGGGGACCGTCCGCCGCGGACGGAGCGGTTATTGACGCCCCCCCTCCCGGTGGCGCCCCCTGGGCCCGACAGCATGCGAAACGGGACCTCCCGAGAGAGGCCCCAAGGGCCCGACACCATGCCAAACGGGACCTCCCGGGGCGGGTTTTCGAGGGCCGGACACCATACCAAACGGGACCTCCCGGGACCACGTTTTCGGGGCGTGACACCATGCCAAACGGGACCTCCGGGGAAGGCGCTCATGGGCCCGACACCATGCCAAACGGGACCTCCGGCGAGAAGCGCCCATGGGCCCGACACCATGCCAAACGGGACCCCCCCGCCGCGGACGGAGCCCTCGGGGCCTTCGGGGAGCCCCCCATGGGCCTGTCCGCGGCAGAAATAGCGTCTGCGCACGGAATAGCGTCTGCGCCGGGAATAGCGTCTGCGCTGGGAATAGCGTCTGCGCTGGGAATAGCGTCTGCGCCGGGAATAGCGTCTGCGCCGGGAATAGCGTCTGCGCCGGGAATAGCGTCTGCGCCACGAATAGCGTCTGCGCCGGGAATAGCGTCTGCGCCGGGAATAGCGTCTGCGCCGGGAATAGCGTCTGCGCCAGGAATAGCGTCTGCGCCGGGAATAGCGGCTGCGCCGGGAATAGCGGCTGCGCCGGGAATAGCGTCTGCGCCAGGAATAGCGTCTGCGCCGGGAATAGCGTCTGCGCCAGGAATAGCGGCTGCGCCGGGAACGCAATGCATCAGGCCCTCGGCAGCAAGACCAACAGGCGGAACAGCGTCTGCGCCGGGAATAACGTCTTCAAGCACATTTGCGTCTTCGAACGGAATTGCGTCTTCAAGCGCCTTTGCGTCTTCACCCTTTGGTTGCGCAATTGCGTCGTCAAAGCGTTTAGCGTCTTCACCCGCTCGACCGCCCCTGGCCAATAGAGTCTTCAAATAGCGTCTTCGTCTTCAAGCCGAATGGGGAACCCCGTGTGCCACCTCAATGTATATATATATATATATATATATATATATATATATAAGTGTGTGCCGAGTAATGCGCGTGGCGAAGCAAGTGATGAAGCTGAGCGTGTGCACACACCTCTGTACAGGCGTGGCTGGGCACAGTGGCGCAAGCTGTACAAGAGGACGGATAAGCAACGGCTACAGTCAACCCGTATAATCAGGATGCGGGATAAGGATGCAAGGGCCTTGGAAACACATTTCGAAGCTTTTCGAGCGGGGCGCTGCCAACACAGGTGGCCAAGGATGGACCTAGGATGCAAGGATGCAAGGGTTCCCTTAGGAAGGCCTACCATCCTTACTATGCGGGTTGACTGTAGCGTTGTGTCCGGCCGGCGACCCGGCCAGTGGCCAGTCGTGCCGACCACGGGGAACGGCGTGCGAAAAGCCGAGGCGCTGAGGCTACGACGCTCGAGCTTGTCTGCCTCCTCAGGACGTAAGACCTCGGAGCTGCACAGAGGTTTGAAGTGAGAGGGCCTGGAGAGGATCTGCTGCCAGCACGCTGGGCGACGGCTGTCGCATAGGTGCGACAGGAGGCGCAGGCAAACAGGGCGGCAAACAGGGCAAAGGCATTCCCCGTTCGCGAAAAGGCGCAGCTGATAACAAATTTGGTAGCGGATGCGCATGTGCGCGCGTCCCTTGGAGGCAAATGATGCGTCGCACCTGGTGCACTTGAACGGCCTGGCGACGGACACATCTGGAGGCACAAATGTATATCCGCCACCGAGCCTCTGGCACCAACTGGAGTGCGCCAAGGCTCACAGCTGTGCTGCTGCTGCAGTCAGGGTTGTGCTCACAGCTGTGCTGCTGCTGCTGCTGCTGCTGCGGCCAGCATCATAGTTTATTAAGAGACCAGGCCACACATTTCCTGGGCGCTCTTGGCGCTCCCGGGGTGTTCCGCATGAGCTCGGGGACGGCTGCAACGCCCCAAACGACCTGCAGACTTTCGTGGAGCTCCCCACCGAGCGCCCAAGACGGTCAAGGAGCGCCTGTAGACAGCCTAGGATGGCCCCCAGACGGCCCAAGAGGCCTCCAAGATGCCCCAAGAGGCCTCCAAGAGGCCTCCCAAGAGGGCCCCGAGATGCACACATAGTAGCTTTTCCATTGGCTTTGAAAGTTTTGGGGAACTCGCGTTCTCGGCTTCCCGACCCTCCAAGATCGCCCAGACGGCCCGAGCGGCCCCCAAGAACGCCCCAAGACCGCTCAAGAGGCCCCCAAGACGGGCCCAAGACACCCCAAGAGGGCCCCAAAACGCTCCACAAGGCCTCCAAGACGGCCCAAGAGGCCCCCCAAACGGCTCCCACAGGGCGCCCAGGCAGGGTGCCCCAACGGACATTTCGAGCCCGCGGCCCCAAGAAGCCCCTAGGAGGCCTCAAGAGGCGCCCAAGAGGTCCTCAAGAGGCCCCAGGAGGCCCCCAAGAGGCCTCCAAAAGGCCTCCCAAGAGGGCCAGAGGCAACCATCCCAAGGAACAACCTGGAGGCCGATGAGCCACAACCCAGGCACGATGGCGGGATGGGCCGAAGGCCATTAGATATTTATCTGTTGTTCTGTGTATATGTTCGGTAACGGTCGTCACCCCAGGAGGGGTGGTGGTGGCGGGAAATGGTAACTTGGACGGGGCGGGGTACGTCGGGGCTTGGATGCGCTGCGATCGCCAGTCTGCTCGCGAGCATCAGCATGTGAGGGGGGGTGCAGCCCCCCCACCCCACCACAGTACGTGCGCTCACTACCAATACCCAGCAGGGGGGAGGGCAAGAGGGGTGGGGCCCAGGTAGCGACCGCTTCGCGCCAGAGGATAAAAGCACAGTCTCCGTAGAGGGCGGGGGGGGGCGTGTGGGGGCAGGAGGGAGCGTGGGGCAGAGGGCCGCTGAGAAGGCGGAGGATGGGCGCGCGAGTGCGTGGTCGTCACCGTGTGTGTGTGTGTGAGAGAGAGAGAGAGTGAGTCAGTGAGTGTGTGTGTGTGAGTGAGTGTGTGTGTGTGTGAATGAGTGAGTGTGTGAGTGAGTGAGTGTGTGAGTGTGTGAGTGAGTGCGTGAGTGAGTGTGTGTGAGTGAGTGTGTGAGTGTGTGAGCGTGTTGAGTGTGTGAGTAAGTGAGTAAGTGAGCGGGAAAGTGTGTGTATGTGTGTGTTTCTGGATGCGACTCACATCGCCGGAGCAGTCCCTCTGCCCAGCCGCCGACGCACAAGTGTTTCTGGATGTGTGTGTGTGTGTGTGTGCGTGTGTGCAGTCGGCTCCGTTGTCTTCCGCCGCTCACCGGCACAGCTGTGCAAAAAACGCCTCCAGGTCCACGTGCTGCTGCGCACAGGCGCAGATCTCCTCGGAGCTGAGGCTCTCGAAGGGCAGGCCGGCGGGCACCTCCAGGAGCTCCGGCTCCTCAATCTGCGGGTTCCGGGATATCGGCTTGCACCCGACGGCGTCCGCCACGCACACCTGAGGCGAGTTGCGAGTCCAAGCACTGTCGAAAACGTGGGGCCCAAGAGTAAGAAATGCTGGAACGGCCCAGGATCGCCGGAGCCGTGTCTCTCGACATCACGCGAATAGTGCAGGCAGCAAAAGCTGAAACGCCGCAACTCTGTCATTTGCCGCCGCAGCCGGGGGGGGAAGCCGGGAGCGCCATTGCCCCCTGAAAGAAAACAGGGGGGTTCTCCGATTCCAGGGCTAATACAGTGGAACAAGAGAAGACGGCATTAAGCATACACTTTCGGAGGCCTGCGCGGATCTCTAAGATCGCCGCTGGACCCCCTCCCCTGGCACGCGGAGCGCGCCAATGGCGGCGCCGGAGGCGCCGCCACGGGGCATGGAGGGAGAGGGGGAGGAGGAGGAGGATGCTGCGATGGTTGCGAGTGCACGATAGTGCTTCATGGGAGCCTCTGTGGACCTCCGCGGCCTTATCACAAACGCGATTTCGACCAGACTTCGTCCAGATCTCGACCACCCCTCTTCACTGATTTCGTCCAGATCTAGTCCAGATTTTGTCCAAATGTCGACTGTATCCGACGAGATCCGGACGAAATCCCCAATCCGCAAAGAATCTTGGGACCCTCTGAGGCTCCCACGAGGAACCGCACAAAGTGACGAACGAACAACACACACATACCTATAGGGGGGACGGACGGGGCCATGGGTGAGTATTGTCGGACGGGGGTCCCCGCTCGAGTGGTAGCCTCCGAAGGGGTTTGACAACCCGCACCCATGCCCGTAGCCAGTCCTCCTCCCTCCGACCTCCCTATGGATATGGACGTGTTGTTCGTTCGTCGCAAAGGAGGGGGGGGAGAAGGGCGAGGGCAGCGGCTGCGAGTGGGCGGAGGCCCAAGTGTCGATCCGAGAAAGAGATATATCCGCTGGCACCTCCGAGAACGTTTGCTTGCACGGTGCCTTGCCATCGCTCGGACGTCCATTCCCCATGCACGTTTCGATTTCGTGCGTCTTGTTTCTTAGCGGCGCGCACAGGGGGGCAGGGGGAGGGGGGAAGGCTTCTTGGAAGTAGGTGTAGATGTAGGGCCGCCACCTTCTACGAAGCAGCCTCCTTCTAAGAAGCCTTCCCACTTTCCCCTGCCCACCTGTGCGTGGCTGATCTCCCCTCGCAAGATGGTCCAAGATGCTCCTGGAATGTGCAAATTTTCTGGCGCTGGCCCCGCCGAGAAAAGTTCACACGTCCGAGCGATGCCAAGAGCGCCTGGGAGTCCCAAGACCACGTGGCGACAGACAGCGCGGTGACCTCGAAGTCCGTATGAGACCTCACCGCGCGGTCCGCCACCGCACGGGACCTCGGAGGCCCCAGTCGCCCGAGGCACCCTCGGAGAACGGGTTATCGTCTTGTTCGCTTTCCTTCGTTCTGTCTTCGGTGTGGGTTTGTTGGGGGGCCCCGACTGTCTTGTGAGCGCACCAGCTCCCGGGCCCTGGCCAGCGCTGACGCGCCGAGCCTCGCGGAGAAGAGCGCATTGAGAAACTGGAAGCTCACGACATCGGCTCCAGATCGGTCGACCAGAACCCCTCCTGGGGCCCAACCCACCAGTTTCCCGAGCTGCGTTCAGCTGTGTCGACGAGTGCCCCCCCCGAAGGCCAAGCCTGAGATCCGACGCTGCGAAAAAATACAACATCGTGGGAAATCACGGGTGCTCCGGACCCCATCTTTCTGCATCATTTTTGAAGCCGGATCGATCTGTGAGGGTCCCGGGGCCCGACAACGAGCGAGCACTTGTTCGACGTCACAGCGCGGCAGAGGCAGTCCGCACGCGCGCTCGGGCAAGCGGGGTGACGGCATTGCGAAGTGCCCGGACTCAAGAGGGGAAGGAGGGAGAAGAGGAGCGGCCGCCGGAGGAGGGGATTCGAAGGAGCGAATGTGAAACACCACAACGAGCGAACACGCCCGCTGTGCCAAAATTGCAACGCCCGGATCTCAGGGAACTACCAGTGTCTCAAACATCGGCTACGAAAAAGAGCGGCCCTGGGTAAAAGACTGACCTTTGGTGCGCGGCTTCTTGGGAGCCGCGGGGGGACCGGCCACGAGCGCGCAAGACGCTTCTGTCGCATCGCGTTGGGCCCGCACCAAAGGTCACTCTGGCAAGCAAAGGGTCACTCTTACTCCGAGTTTCATAATAAGGGTCGGGGGGGCGTCACCCTCGCCGACAGCCCCACATCGACCCCCGTCGCGGGCAGCCACCGCGCGCCGAAGGCGCTCCGGCCCCCGTCGTGGCGCGGCGACGAGGCGAGGTTCACCCCCGTGGGGCGGGTACCTAAAACGACGCGAAGATCGGGACAAAATCGGATCGGGATAACTCGAAATCTCTGAGAGTCGGCGGGTTTGGAGGATGTATTGGGCGCCGCGGCCGTTCCAGAGCGTTCCGGAACGCTCTGAGAGCGCTCCGGAACGCTCTGGATCGATTTGTCCCGATCCTAGCCCTGTTTTAGTACCCCCCCACGCCTACTAAGAAACCCGGAGCACGTGCAGTCGAAAACTGCCCTCCGCCGAGCCTCGCGGCCAGGGTGGCCGGCGCGCCCCCGCCGCCTGCCGGCGGCGGCGGCCGCGGGGCGGCCGCGGCGGCTGCCGCTGCAGCGGTCGGGCCTGCCGCCCCAGCCGCCGGCGCGCCCCTGGCCTCGCGCGCCCGGGCGGCCGCCTCCTCGTCGCCGCAGCCGCCGTGGCGGCGCGGGGTCGGGTGGGGGCCGGCCTGCGGGAGCGGACCATACAGGGACGCAAAAACACACGTACTACGCACCCTCCTGAGATCCCAGCGTCTCGATTTTTCCGAGCCCTGAACGTTTCAGTTTGCCTTGTTGTGGGCCCCGGGACCCTCACAGATCGATGCGGCTCGAAAAATGGCGCACACAGATGGAGTCTGGGGGGCTCCGGGCGTGATTTCTTGCGGTGTTGCATTTTGCTTGCAACGTCGGATCTCAGGGTACGATGTGCCCTCTTTGGAGACGCGCGTACAACCCGAACATGTCACAAATGTCTTGTAGCATTTCGTTTCCCGAGCGGTATGGCCGCACAGCGCCCGCCACAGAGCTTAGGCTATGAGATTTCTCGGCGCGCGCGTCGCCCCTGGGTGGGGGCCGGCCTGCGGGAGCGACCCATATACAGCCAAAAGTGCGATCAAAAGGAAAAGATCCCAGGAGATGCTCTTGTCAAGCTGGCGGTTCCTCCTGGATTTCGGCCTCGGGGGCCCGTTATCGGGCCCGGGGACCTGGGACCATCATACACGAACCCGGGACAACAAAAACCACCCCCTGGGAAGAGGGTGGGGACGTCTGGGGCCGCGGGATGAAAGTCGGCGGATGTCAGTCAGCCCGTACAACCGAAAGTACGACCAAAAGGACAGCATCCCCCGAGATCTCGGCGTTGCCATTTTTCCAGAAAGGGCGTTTTCGCTCGGCCTTCTGGGCCCCAGAGCCCTCACAGATCGATCCGGCTCGAAACAGTTCGGCGGCGCGCAAGCATGGATCGGGGGAGGTGCCCTCCCCAAAATGCGGCCGGTGCCGCCTCGTTCGGCGGCGGAAATCCGCGATTTCCCATGGAAGTGGGAACCGTCGCTAATCCACCACCCCTTAATCCATGTTTGCGCTCGCATGAGAAGTTGCGCAGAAAGATGGGGTCCAGAGCTCCCCCTTATCGGGCCCTGGGGCCGTCGAAGAACGGCTCAGGACGAGAAGCCGGTCCCAAGGAATGGGTCGAGACAACTGGGGGTCGAAGTTATGATTAGGTCGGGCATGTCCCCCTACAGTTGGACTTTTGAGGAAAATGAGAAACACTCAAAAACAAGTTAAAAATATCCAAACCATATTCAAACATCGTCCCCACTTTTTCACTATTTTGGAATCTCTCTCCTGTAGAGGGACACGCCCGACTTACAGTTATGAAAAATATGACGTCGGGGGTCCGCGAAAGAGCGGCACCACCACCACCAACGGGAGGAGCCAGGTCCGAGTTGGTGCAGCTCGGGCACTTCGCTTCTACGACGTGCTCCGAGAGGCATGAGCCTCGCTGGCTGGGTGGCACCCCCGGTGGTGGTGGTGGTGGTGTCGCTCGTCGCTGTTCTTTCGTCATAGACCCCCGACGTCGTTTTTTGGTCACAACGTGAACCCCAATGGTCTCGACTAGTTTCGGGTCGAACGAACGGGGTGGATAGTAAAGGGGGTCAGTGGATCAGCTCACGTAGTTGATTTTCACACCGCACCCCAGCGCCGGAGGCGCCAATGTGTCTGGGAATGCGCACGGCAGCGGTGCCGAAACCAGCTGAACGCAGCAGATTTCGTGACCCCGCAGTTCCCAAACTATCCCCGCCCCCCCCCCCAGTCCGTCCGACGGGGCTCGTCCCCAGGGCCGGTTCTTCCTCCCGCGAGTCGTTTTTCTTCGACGTGTCTCTCGGGGCTCGGCAGGGGCCCTCGGAGGCCGAAGACGGCCGAGAGCCTCTGACCCCGATTGCCATTCTCGACCCGAGGGGGTGTCTCGGTGGCGACATCGGAACCCTACCCAGAGATCCAACGCGTTGAAGAAATCAAGACGAGGTTTTTTGTATTTTTCGGTCTCTAGAGGCCCTCGCCGCGCCTCGGGACCGTCAAAAAACGGCTCAGGAAGAAGAACCTGTCCTGGGGAATGGGTCGAGACTTCCAGGGACCCCGTATGAAAAAATCACGACATCGGATCTCTGGCCAACCGCCGGCTCTCCCGAATCGATGAGAGGCGTGGGTAGGGTTCGGAATCCGTCGAACGCGTGGCGAAGTCCGAATCCATACCCCCGCCGCCCTTCGAGTGGCCTGAAGCGCTGATCGGTTTCGCCGCCGAGATGGCTTTTCTCGACTCGAGAAGGGGGTCTTGGCTCCGAGCCTGCGGCCAGGCCGAGGCGCCGGGCGCCGGCGGCGGCGGGCCTCACGGGCGGCGGACATCTGTCCGTATCCGCGCCCTCGCGGTCTGGACTCGGGCGCGATCCCGCGGATACGCGGTCGCACGGATGATGCCTTCCGCGCGGGGCATCCGCGAAACAACGCCCCCCACATCCGCGGGGTCGCGGCCCAGGGGCCCGGGCCGCGAGATCGAGGATGGAGGCCTCGTGGATGGGGTCGGAGCAGATGGGGTCGGAGGATCGCGCCGCATCGCTGGTGCATCGGCGATGCGGCGCGACCCCATCTGGGCTAGGAGACGCCCGGAATCGGCAGCGGCCGCTGTTGGGCAGGCGGCATCCTGCCTCAAATGGACAGCGCCCGCGGCGACACCGACAGCAGGTCCTGTCTAAAGTGGGCAGGCCGTGCGGTCGGCCGTTGTACGTACAATTGTTTCCAGTACACATTCCCAAGGATGCGACGTCTTGATCATTTCAACATGCGGTCTCCGGAAGTCTAGACCCTGTCCCCAAGGCCGGATCTTCTTCCCCGAGGCCCGGCGAGGGCCTATGGAGGCCGAACACTGCCAAAAACCTCCCGTCGTTATATTTTCGCGACGCGGGCATGTCTGGGTCTCGATCATCCTGATATTTCGCCCACGAGGGCGGCTCGCCGGGGCGGCCGCGCGCGGCGAGAAGCCCCCCCTGTCGTTGAGCCCCTTGGTTTTCGGGTCATAGCTCGGCTCTCAGGCGGCCGTTCGGGACGATCCGGGCACCCACAGAACGCTTTCGGCGAGGCGCAGCTGCTGGAGAGCACCCCGAGGCTGGAAAGCCGACAAAGACCTGCGGAACCGCCCGAAAAGCTCGAACCTCGCAGCTATCGTTGCCCCTGGCTGTTTTGGCGGCGCGCAGAGGGGGGTAGGGGGATGGGGGAAGGCTTCCCCCCTCGCCTACCAGAGGCCCCCTAGATGGGGTTCGAGTATATGGAGTCGGGGGATCGCGCCGCATAGCCGATGCATCGCCGACGCATCGATAATGCATCGGCGACGTCGGCGATACGTCGGCGACACCAGCGCGGAGAAAGTCGGGCTCCACATCGACACGCATCGGCGATGCATCGGCGATGCGGCGCCATCCTCCCACCTCATCCACTAAGAGGCAGCCTCCGTCCAAGAAGCCTTCCCCCCTCTCCCTGCCCCCCTCTGCGCGCCGCCCAGACCACCCCCCCCTTTGCCCCCCCTCCCCTCTGCTCCGCGAGGTTTCGCCCTCCCCCTCCCCGCGAGGTTTCTGCCCCGCGAGGTTTCTACAATTACTCAATATGAATACTACTCCCCCCCTTTCCCTGATGACGGTTTGAAAGTGTTAGCCCTCCCCCCCCCCCGCGTACTGTTTTTTTACATACAGGATTCCCCGGAGTTGGGTTTTCGCCTGCATTTGTTCCAAAATGCTGCTCTCGCTGAGGCGCCGGCCTCATTTTCAGGCCCCGCTCGATCCGAATCGTGCTCCCGCTTCAGCGCTGGCCTCATTTCCGTGCTTCCGCTCGTTCCGAATCGTGCTCCCGCTGCAGCGATGGCCTCATGTCCGCGCTTCCGCTCGTTCCGACTTGTGCTCCCGCTGCAGTGCTGGCGTCATTTCCCGTGCCATGCCACGGCATGCAATGCAATGCTAGGTTGATACTACGCTTTGCGGTGCTCTTCTACGCCATGCCATGCCGTGCTCTACAATGCATCGCGTACCCTTTCGGGATCATTGCCCTGCTCGACATCCGACTGTGCGAGTAGAGAGGGGATCTACGCCATGGTAAGGGATGGGAGGGAGGGATAGGATGTCAAATACGACGCGAGCGCACCTAGCTTGGCCCCCGCCCTCCCCCTCTACCCTTAGGTCGGGCATGTCCCCCTACAGGGGGATTCTGGGCGAAAAATCAAAAATACCCAAAAGATACTCCCTAAGTGGTCAAAAATAGTGAAAAATCGTCCCAGACATTTTTTTTTACTATTTTTGAACATTCCCCCCGTAGAGGGACAGGCCCGATTCAACTCTTCCCCTCTCCCCTCCCCCTTGCCCATGAGTTTCGCCCGCGCGAGGGGCCGCCCGCCGGGGCGGCCGCGCGCGGCGGGAAGGCTGGCGGCGCCCAGGCGGCCGGCGAGCCGGGCGCGCGCCCGGCCGGAGGCGCCTCGGCGGCGGCGCTCTGCAGCGCGCCCGGCGCCGCGCGCGCGGCGGCGCCGTCGAGCGCCCGGGCGGCGCCCGGGGCGAGCCCCTCCCACAGCGTCCTCGGCGGCGCGCAGGCCCAGAGATCCAACGCATGAAGAAATCAGGACGGAGGTTTCTTACATTTTTCGGTTTCTATAAGGGCCCTCGCCGGGCCTCGGGACTGTCAAGAAAGGACTCAGGATGAAAAGCCGATCCTGGGGAATGGGTCGAGACCTCCAGGGACCCCGTATTGAACAAATCACGACATCGGATCTCTGGGGGAGCGACCCCCATCCAGACCCACCCGGGTCACGAAAAAAAGTCTGGTGCTCTGGCGGGCCAGAGGCGTCCGAGTCGTCGCCCCAGGGGGCGGCCCTCGGGTGCGCTGTCCCCAGACCCCCGACGTCATGATTTTTTCATGACGTCGGCCCCCAGAGGTTTCGACCTATTCCCCGGGACCGGTTTTTCATCCCGAGTCGTTTTTTGACGATCCCGAGGCCCGGCAAGGGCCCCCAGAGGCCGAAAACGGTGAAAAACCTCCCGTCGTGATTTTTTCATTGCTCGAGGGGGTCTGGGTCGCCAGGTGCTGCCATGACGCGTCCCTGGCCCAAGGAGGCCCGGGGATCTCCAAGGAGCCCCCCGCGGCCTCCAGAGCAGCATACGCCGCTCCCGGGCCCAGGAGGGGCCTGGCCAGCAGCGGTGGAGATGTACCCAGACATGCGACGTCCTGATTTTTTCAGGACGGCGTCCCTGGAAGTCCAGACCCTTTCCCCAGGGCCGGTTTTTCGTCCTGGCTCGTTTTTTTGACGGTCCCGAGGCCCGGCGAGGGCCCCCCGGGGCCGAAAATAGCGAAAAACCTCGCGTCCTGATTTTGTCACGACGCCGTCATGTCTGGGTATAGATCTCGTCGCCCTGCTCTGGGGACCCCTTACTGACAGGATCAAGACGTCGGAGGTCTGCCCTTTATTAAGGGAATGAAGACGTCGGAGGTCTGGGGGCCGTGGGCAAGAGCGACCTCCTGTGTGCGGCTTGCCGACTGCTGTGCTACGGGGGGGGAAACAAACCTACCTCGCGTTTGACCACCCTCGCTTCCAGGAGATACCAAACGATGCCAAATTGCAGCCTGTACTGGTCAGGCCACTTGACGAGGAGGCGCGTGGCATGGCTCGGTTGTGCCTGGAAGCGAAAGCGGGGCAGGCAATTCACGCTCTGATGTGCATGCGATGCGGCCAGTGGCCACACCTGCGTGCCTGGGCTGACACCACCCCACGACACCCCCCCGATAGCCCCACGCACCGGAGGTCACTCCTGCCTCGGATCACCAGGGACTAGGGGAACAACCAAATGCCAATACCACTGCCCCCAAGACCTCTCATGGGGTGCATCCTGGCTAGAAGCTCGAGGAGGATCCAGTGGCGACGAGGGCTCTCTCCAGGACGAGCAGCGGCGTCCTCTATTCCCCCTCCGGAAAAATTCAACATCGCAAAAATCACGATCATAACCCTGGGCCCCATCCTTCGGCGCCAGTTTTCGAACCAAATCGATCCGTCAGGGTCCCGGGACCCGAGGCTTGGCGAAAACGCTGGGCGTGAAACAATTGCGACGACGAGATCTCAAGGTCGCTATCTCTTCCTCCTCAGAGTCGCTCTTATGCGCAGCCGGCATCCGAAGATGTGGCAGCTGCGGCTGCTCTGGCAGGCCAGCGGCGTCCGCGTCGTCGCCCGGGGGGCGGCCCTCCCACAGCGGGTGCGCCCTCGCAGGTTGCTGCCATGACGCGTCCCTGGCCCAAGGCGCCCCCACCTCCTCCTCCTCCTCCTCCTCCTCCTCCTCCTCCTCCTCCTCCTCAGGATTTCCAAGGAGGCCCCCGCGGCCTCCAGAGCACCCCTCGCGAGGCCCAGAGGGTCCCATCGCCAGATCTGTTCGCGTCGTTTTGACGGTTTTGGCCCTCATGGGGTCCCTCGCCGGGCCCTGGGACCGGCAAGAACCTACGGGGCCGGAACTTCCAGGGGGCCCGCATTGAAAAAAAACACGAGCACCGCACGTCTGGGCCCGCATGGGCTCAGAAGCGGCGCGAAAAGCCGGGGACACCGTGGGCCATGGGGGCACGTTAGGGAGCCCCCGGCCTCAGGGACCGCCAGGAGGCCCGGTCCAGCGGGGCCTTCTGCAGCAGCGAGGCCAGCAGGGCCTGGAGGTCGGGTGAGCCGTCGGCGGCCATGGGCAGCGGCGCGTGCAGGATCAGGTCCTGTATCTCCGGGATCGACGTGGCGTGGAAGGGCGGCCTGCCGGTCAGCATCTCGTGCACGACACAGCCGAGGGCCTTCCAAGATCCAGGAGTAGCTGCACGAGCAGAAACCGTCGGAGGTCCGCGCGGATGTCTTGGATCGGCTCTGGGCCCCCTCTGGCGCTCGGAGCGCGCCGGTGGCGGCGCCGTGCTGACTCAAGAAATCACTGCGGAGCTCCGACAGTTTGCGCTTATGCCGCTTTTCTTGGAGGCGGCCGGTGGGCCTGAACGAGCTGGGACCCCAGACACTCGACCAGGAGGGGGGATGAGGCCAAATCTGTTCAACCAGACCCCTCCCCGGGGTCCATCTGGTGAAGTTTTTCACCCCGGGTCTGTTTTTGTCGGCCCTGGTGCCCGAAAACGCCCCCAGGAGGCAGCAAAGGGAGAAAACCTGATCGAGCCCAGGACGTCGAACCTCGCCTCCAACCAGTGCCTGGCCACCTCAGACCCCCAGACAGCTTACACGTTTTTTCTTCTCCGGGAGGGTTGCAGGTCCGAGGTGGAGGGAGGAGGGGGAAGGGGGAGGAGGAGGGAGGGAGGGAGGAGGGGGGAGGGAGGAGGGGGGAGGAGGCGGAGAGGGAGGAGGACCAGTGCAAACCCAAGACTCAAAAAAGATATTGCAATAAACCCTCCCTCCAAATTCCCTCTTCACAGGCCCCTACAAGGATTCACTTTCACTGAGGGATGCGCCCCGTTGGAAGACAACCGTTTGAAAATCCGGAACTGCGCTAGAGAACCATTCATGGGTCTTCAACGCCGTGAATCACCGTTACTGTTGCGTCTTGTCTTGACGATCCTGAACCTTTCCGGAACACCATGCCGAACTTCAACACATCGGCTCAAACTGACGATTGCGCCCTGACATTCCGACATCGTACCGAAGCACCACCTCTGCGACGTCAGCCACGAGAGTCCTTTAAACAGTTGCGAACTCTTAAACTGAATGTGGGCGGCGCTGAGACGAGAACCACATTTTAGAAACGGACAGCCCTCCATCCGTGAAACTTCTGCGAACTTTCAAAACGAATATCGGTGGCTCGAACGCGAGGGCCACACTTTGAAAAGGAACCGCCATCCATCCGTGAAGTCTTGCAAACTTTTGAAACGAAAGTGCGCGGAACTGAAATGTGAACCACATTCTTGAAAACGGACCGCCCTCCACCACTTGCAACCTTTGAGAACGAATGCGCGCGGCGCTAAGGCGAGAAAAGCATTTTGAAAACGGCCGGCGCTCCATCCATGAAACTGCTGCAACTCTTAAGCTACAGGCTGATCAGCGGTGAGGAAGTCTCAGGCGAAACGCCCGGCCCGCCCTTTCGACAAGCCTCGGGGTGCGACAGGGAAGAGTTATGTTCATGGAAGAAGGATGGAGGAGGAGGAGGAGGAGGAGGAGGAGGAGGAGGAGGAAGAGGACGTTTTCCTCTCCGAGGAGGGCCCACAGGTCGGAGGCGAACGAGTGCACCCCCCGCTCGTGGAACAGCTCGGGCGCCATGTAGTGCGGCGTGCCCCGTCGCGGGAGTGCCGCGCCCTCCCGCAGCAGGCGGGCCAGGTCATCCAGGGGCTGCGCGTGGCCAAAGTTGGAGAGCCGGAGCGCGCCGTCCTTCGCAGAAGCGACCACAACCCAGACCCCCTCGATGCGTGACAAAAATCGCGGCGGGCGGTTCTGCTCGACTGCGCACAAGAAAGCGATCCTGGGCAAGAGTGATCTTTGGTGCGCGGCTTAGGGGGGCGGGCGGGGAGCCCAAACCAAGCGCCCAAGCCGCTGCTACCGCATTTCTTTCAGCGACCTCAGAGAGCCCCAACGGACCTCGCACCAAAGGTCACTCTGGCGAAGGGTCACTCTTTACGTGTAATCGATTTTCGCTATTTTCGGCCCCTGGGGGCCCGTAACGGGCCCCGGGAACGTTCAAACAACGAGTCAGAATGAAATTTCGGTCCCAGAGAATTGGTCGAGACATCTGCAGGTCAACGCCATAAAGCAACATGACGTCGGGGGTCTGGGTTCGAAGAAGAGCCGAAGTTGGAGAGGCCGAGCGCGCGAAGAAGAGACCCTGAGATCCGGGCGTTCCGATTTTTACCTAACAGCGAAGATTGATAGGTTTCTAATAGGGTCAAAAGAGAGCATCATGACTCCCCAGGGGGGTCTGGGCGAGATCTGGACAGGGTGCCCCGGGAAACCCCCAGGAAACCGGGGATTTGTTTGAGCCAACACTAACGCACTTCGTGGTCTTCGAGTTCCCAGAACTCCATTCCTGGGCATGATTTTGAATGCCCGGAACCAAATGTAGGCCACTTCGTTTTCTTCGAGTTCCCAGAACTCCATTCCTGGGCATGATGTTGAATGCCTGGAGCCAACTGTAGGCCACTTCGTGGTCTTCGAGTTCCCAGAACTCCATTCCTGGGCATGATTTAGAATGCCCGGAGCCAACTGTAGGCCACTTCGTGGTCTTCGAGTTCCCAGAACTCCATTCCTGGGCATGATTTAGAACTGTAGGCCACTTCGTGTTCTTCGAGTTCCCAGAACTCCATTCCCGCGCCACATTTTGAATGCTGAGGCAGGCTGATGCTGAGGCTGAGGCAGGCTGAGGCTGAGGCAGGCTGAGGCTGAGGCGAGGCTGAAGGCAGACTGAGGCTGAGGCTGAAGCAGGCTGAGGCTGAGGCTGAGGCAGGCTGAGGCTGAGGCTGAGGCAGGCTGATGCTGAGGCAGGCTGAGGCTGAGGCTGAGGGCAGGCTGAGGCTGAGGCCGAGGCTGAAGGCAGACTGAGGCTGAGGCTGAAGCAGGCTGAGGCTGAGGCTGAGGCAGGCTGAGGCTGAGGCTGAGGCAGGCTGATGCTGAGGCAGGCTGAGGCTGAGGCTGAGGCTGATGCAGGCTGAGGCTGCTGAGGCTGAGGCTGAGGCTGAGGCTGAGGCTGAGGCTGAGGCGAGGCTGCTGAGGCAGGCTGAGGCTGAGGCTTGAGGCTGAGGCTGAGGCTGAGGCAGGCTGAGGCTGAGGCTGAGGCAGGCTGATGCTGAGGCAGGCTGAGGCTGAGGCTGAGCAGGCTGAGGCTGAGGCTGAGGCTGACTGAGGCTGAGGCTGAAGGCAGGCAGGCTGAGGCTGAGGCTGAGGCTGAGGCTGAGGCTGAGGCTGAGGCTGATGCAGGCTGAGGCTGAGGCAGGCTGAGGCTGAGGCCGAGGCTGAAGGCAGAGGCTGCAGGCTGAGGCTGAGGCAGGCTGAGGCTGAGGCTGAGGCAGGCTGAGGCTGAGGCTGAGGCAGGCTGAGGCTGAGGCAGGCTGAGGCTGAGGCTGAGGCTGAGGCAGGAGGCTGAGGCAGGCTGGCTGAGGCTGAGGCAGAGGCTGAGGCTGAAGCAGGCTGAGGCTGAGGCTGAGGCAGGCTGAGGCTGAGGCTGAGGCAGGCTGATGCTGAGGCAGGCTGAGGCTGAGGCTGAGGCTGATGCAGGCTGAGGCTGAGGCAGGCTGAGGCTGAGGCCGAGGCTGAAGGCAGACTGATGCTGAGGCTGAAACAGGCTGAGGCTGAGGCTGAGGCAGGCTGAGGCTGAGGCAGGCTGAGGCTGAGGCTGAGGCAGGCTGAGGCTGAGGCTGTGACTGCGACTGCCGTTGCCACAGCGACTGTCATCGCGAATGCGACTACGACTGCGAGAGCAGCAGAATTCTACAACTGGATTCTCATCTGAATCTTAAGGGGAATGCTTCCAAATATGCTCCTACACATCGCTGTTAGGTTGCTTTGCCGGGATAATTCCACACCAAGCGATTTCGCCCTGCTTCGGGCCCGGGGACCCTCACAGATCGATCCGGCTCGAAAAGTGGCGTCGAAAGATGGGGTCTGGGGTTCTGGTCGTGATTTCTGCACTCTCGGATCTCAGGGGAAGAGACCACAGCATACACACAAGCTTTGGTGGAGCTCCGCGCGGACTTCCTGAACGGTTGCTGGAGGCGCCGCCAAGGGGGGTACAGCACGGATCCAAAAATCCGCGCATCCGAAACGGGTGTGAATTAACCTGGCTCAGCGCAAATCCGGCTCAGCCAAGTTGGAAGAACTGCGATGCAATTGTTTGAGGGGCTTCCCAAACCCAGCTCGGCCCATATGTAAAGCCACCTCCAGGGCCGCGAGCGGCCTTTAAATCCAACCCAATTAAATCTGGCTTTTCAGTATCCTGCAGCATCCAGCGCTCTGGCTGAGCCCTGTTTGCAATGAAGCTCATTACCTGCCGGGTGACGACATCTGTTTTTCCCCTAACAACCTTTCGCTAGAGGGTTCTGATAACGGAAAGCAGAGACAACATCATAATCCCACAGGGGGGACGGGGAGCCGTTGTAGCAGCCGTTTCACCAGAGACTTCCTCACACTTCATGCAGGATTCGTACTCTCGCCTCAATGCCAGCTACATTTGCAGAGTTCTCACCCCTGCCCTAGCTACATCTTTTCATTTTCAAGGATTCCCAGCCGTGCTTCTCCTTCTCCTCGGCCCGCCTCTTCACCTTTGCTGCCATCAGGGTGCACTGCTGGGGGTAATTCTGTGTATGCCGATTCGTACTTTTGGTATGATTAGTTTCCTTTTTCTTCTTATTCCTCTTCTTCTTCTTCGTCGAATCCTCGCTGATGAGCACGTTGGCGGGCTTCATGTCGCAGTACACCACGCCCCTCGCCTGCACGTGGAGAAGCCCCGCCGCCAGGTCGTGGGCGAAGGGGCGCACCTGGGCCTCGGGCAGGCGGCCGTCCTGCTTCAGCAGGTGCAGGAGGTCCCCGCCTGCGCAGAAGTCCGAGATGACCCACAGGTGGTTGCGGGTCTCGTGGGAGCTGACCTCAGCTCAGCGGCCCCGACACGCGGCGCGCAGCCCGTAGCGTGCTGACACGGAGCTCAACTTCGCAAGTTGAACACGTGGGCTGAGCGCGATGCGTTCGCCACAACGTGGGCCAACACACGCGCGCGAGACGAGTTAACACGGTACGTGTTGCGGTTCAGCACGTGCGTACCAGTGCAGCTGAGGACCTCACGAGTCAGGTCAGCAAGACGTGCGCCCACTGGCGCGTGGGCGAGACCTACCCCGTCAATATTTGCCGTTTCCGCTGTTTTCGGCATCCGGGGGCCCTCGCCCAGCCCTGGGACCGTCAAAGAGCGATCTGGGACGGAAAAACCGATCCGAATGTAGCGGTCCAGAGCTCTGGAGACCATTGATTGAACAAAACATGCTCCAACTAAGCAAGGTGAGGAAGCGCGCCGTCGAGGAGCAGGAGGCTGGCAATAGAGGACAAGGGTGGAAGCACGGCCAGGTGCACCGTAGTGCACCTGTTGCAAGAGTTCGTGGCCGTCCAGACTCAAAATGTAGCCGACATTGGGAGAGAGCGCGATTCCTTCCTAAAGTTTGAGGAAGTCTTAGGCGAACCAGCTGCCAGCGCAGGGCTGGCACGGGCTCCAAGTCCCCACAGTGGGACATGTCTGGGTCCTTCTCTAACGCGATCAGAACCCTCTAGCGAAACGCTACTGGGGAAAAACGATTCGCACTATAGCACGCTCAGGATCCCAAACAAGTGCACGAGCAGAAGGGGGCGAGGGAGGAGGGGGGAGATGACCTCAGGATCCCCTGCAACTTTCCAGAACACTCCCAAACACTCCAATGTCGCCCAGAAGCGTTCTCGATCCTCGATCCTCGAATACCCGCCACCGTCCCCTACGGCACGAGTTGGAGTGTCCTTGAAATTCTCCGTCCTACCCCAAATTACTGTATTTTCTGAGGCTCCCCGAACGTTCCCGCGCGTTTTTGCTGGGGAACCAAAAGGGCCCCCAAATGGGCCGAGAGGGCCCTAAGAGGCCACAAAGACTGTACAAGAGCGCCCTGAGTCACCCGAGATCGCTCCAAGACGCCCACGATGGCCTCCAGACGGCCCAAGACGCCCCCAAGACTCCCCAAGAGGGCTCCAAGAGGCCTTCCACGAGGGCCCCAGACGCGCAACTCATTCATTTCTGTTTGTGATTGGTTTCGGGGCTTTCGCCTTTTTTGGCTTTCGAGACTCCAGGACAGCCTAAGAGGCCTCCAAGCTCTCCACAAGACGGCCAAGGACTCCAGATGACGCTAAAGGGCCCAATGCGGCCTGAGAGGCCCCCCAAACGGCCCAAGAGGGAACCGAGAGGCCCAAGAGGCCCTGATGCTCGTCAAGATGTGAGCTTCCTGAGGTGCCTAATGGCTTCTGTGAGCCCCCAGGACCACTGGGGGATAAGAAACTTGCGTGGGGCACCTGCTGGTATACCAACAAGCGCCCCACCAACACCAATATCGGTTGACACCAAAACCAAGACCAAGACCAATATCTAGAGGTTGACAAAAACACCAATATCGGCGGTGTGCCTCCACCGAGGGAAGAAGATCCCGACCTCGGTGATGGTGGTAATCTTATGGCTTCCAAGGCGACCGACATGTTACCACCTTCTCCCTGTGGAGGCAACCTCCTAGGTTGGTGTTGGTGCCCATTTCCAGGCCTCCAATGGTAGGCCAGTTCCTCATTTGACGTGCCTGCTGTAGTCCCCCCCCTCTTGGACGCCCCCGAGCTGGCCAGTCCGACGACGTTCGGGTGGTTGAGCCGGGACAGGACGCTCACCTCGTTCACTACTTTGTCTCGTCGGCCTTTCTCCACGCTCTTGACCGCGAGGTAGCGGATGGTATGCCTCTTGCGGCCTTTGTACACGACAGAGAACTTCCCGTGGCCGATCTCCTCGTACAGGTGGTAGTTGTTCATCGTGCTCACGCCCCAGTGTCTGCCCGTCCAGCACGGCGCACCCTCAGCGTCTCACTGCGCTCCTCTGGGCTGCGCCTTTCCCGCTTACTGTCCAAAGGGACGCTCTTTCGGCTCTTGCGCGCCACCTACTTGTTCACAGGGGCCTCAGCCTGACAACTTCTCACGTGCAACTCCCGACTATGACGGCGAGGGCGGGCTTTGCGGGCCAGCAAAACAGAGGCGTGATCGCAGGTACGGGTGCAGCCCTGCAAATGGGTAAAGACACATGACTCAAGCAAGCACGCGGCCTCCAATCTGGAACTTCGTATTGGTGGCTGGTGGGAGTGCTCTCTTGCCCACGAACGGTCTCGCCCCATTCGGATGAGGGGGTCAATCTGGGGCGGGAAGGGCGGCGGCGACATCGCAGCCGTCGCAGCGGGAGGCGGGGGAGGCGGCCATTGGCGTTCGAAAGTCGGAGCCCCTCTGTCCCCAGGGGTGACTCCCCACCCCCTGGCGCATAGGTACCGTGGAACTCGGAGCAAAGACGAGGAGCAACACAGACCCCCGACGTCGTGTTGCTTCAGCAACCTTGCCTCTCAGAGGTCTGGACCCCTTCCCGGGGCCCGGGGTCTTGTCCCTCGACTCGGCGGCGAGCGAGGGGGGGAGATGAGAAGGAGAAGGCCTTCTCAGAAAGCGGCGCGGCTTCTCAGAGGGCCTCCGGCCTTCGGACAGGTTCTTTTGTGCCTTCGGGGAAGGCTCCGAAAACCCCTCGAAGGCTGGGGGACTTCCGAGCCTTCCGAGAAGGCCCCACCCCTTCATACTTCCCCGCTGGGCTCGCCGCCGATAGACGAAGGCAGGATGAAGACAAACTCAGACGAGGATAATTACATCAATCATCCCTGAGAGCCAGCAGGTCTGACGGATACATACATATATATATAAATATATATATATATATATAGATACAGATACATATATATACATATACATATATATATATATATGTGTCTATCGGACGCCGCGGCCTATCCAGAGCCCTGAGAGCGTTCAGAAACGTTCTGGATCGAGGTATCCTCATGATGTGGACTGCCTGAATTCTCTCCCGCTGGATCTGGCAACACCCTGGCTTGCTCGAACCTGGCTTCTGGGACCCTGGCGCAAACTGATCCAGCGCGGGCACCGGAAACCGGCGCGGACCTCGGAAGCGCCGCTCCGTGGTCTCGTGTGCTGTCCCAGGGAGACGGGGGCGGCCCATGTGGGGGCCCCGCTGGGGTAAAACCCAAGGAAAGACTCCAAGACCCCAAATACCATCCCGATGCCAGTGGGCCATCCACGAAGAGCATAGTCTGGGTGGCAGTCCACAACTTAGCCCAGACGTCCGATGCTGTGATGTCTTTCTGCACTTGGCCGCCCTGAGCTCTACAGTCGAACCGAGGACAGAAGAACATCCCTCAAGAACACGAGACTCTCCGCCGGCCAAAACACACAAAACAGCCAAGGGTGCCCTTCCCAGGATGCACAAAAACATCCAACAAGCACGAAGAACATTACAACATCTCCCCGAACCGACTTCGATCTCGTACCTCGGTCCGACTGTATAATCCCGTCCCAGGAACAGGTTTTCCTCCCGGATCGTTCCTTGACGGCCCCTGTGCCCAGAGACGGTCCACGTTCTACAGGACGCTGGAGGCATGGGAAGGCCCAGGTTAGGTCACGTCAGGTCCGATCGTGCGGCGGCGCTGGAAACCTGCGCCGTGGCACACCGACCCCCTCCGGGGAAGTCTCCGGCAGGTTCCTGGTGAGGCAGTGGCGTCTGCTGGCTCTGGTGGCAAGCTGCTGCGAGGCCATGGAGGTCGACGAAACCACCACCGTCAAAACTGGCAGGTCGAAAGCCCGTGCTGCACCCCCGCCGCCGTCCTGGCACCTCGCGCTCCGCGCCCCGCGACGCGCGGTTCTCTCTGGGCCCTCGCGCCGCCGCCCTGGAGAAGGGCGCCTCTCCAACCCGAGCCGCGATGCGCGAAGCACGATCACCTCCTGCTGCTCCTCCTCCTCCTCCTCCTCATCCTCCTCCTCCTCCTCCTCCTCCTGCTCCTCTATGCTCCTCCATTTTCTCCTCCTCCTCCTCCTCCTCTTCCTCCTCCTCCTCCTCCCCCTCGCGCTCCTGGGCGCGACCCAGCTCTCTCGAGTGGCAACTGCGGGAGGGGGCAGGCTCCAGGCTCCGGGGGGGAGGGGGGCATCGAGCCCAGAACGGCGATGTATCGCCGATGAGGGCCACGTCGCCCACACCGCCCACGAACGCGCGGATTCGCCATTGGGGGCACATCGCCGATCCATGGGCGATGTATCGCCGATTCGGGCTCGATGTTCCCCTCCCCTCCCCGAGCCAGCCAGTCCCTCCCTTATGCTGGCCCCAGAGTCGAGAAGGGAGGGGCCTCCCCGTCTGTCGGGGGGGAACAACGCTCAAGGCGGCGAAAGGTTTATTATGGTTCGCCCGCGGCTGCGGCGTCTACGGAGCTGTGGAGCTCCGGTTTCTGCCGCCTGCTCTGGCCCGCGTGGCGTCGAGAGTCGTAGCTGCGGCGATCTTGGACCGCTCAGAAGCTCTCCCCTGGGGGAGCCACCAGGTACTGATACCTCTACTCTCGGGAGCGGCCAAGAGGGGGGTGCCCAAGAGGGGGGGGTGCAAATCATGACCTGCGGCATGTGCGCGGCCTAGCGGGGGGGCCAGGGACGTAATGAAATAAGAAGAGGCGCCATGAATTCTGGGTAAATATCATGGCCCCCGCCATGATATCCACCCCCCCCCTAGTCATCACCCCCCTCTTTTCCGCCCCCGATACTCCAAAGACCTCTCCTGGGGTGCGTCCTGACCAGGATTGCGAGGCGAATCCAGCCGTGGCGACCAGGGCCTCCCAGGAGGCCGACAAAGGGGAAAACGGGCGAAGGGTAGCGGTATCGGTCCCGTTCCCAAAGAACGGACCCACGTGAACCGAAGATGCCATGCCCAAGGTTTTTCCATGCGCGGTCCTCGGAAGGCCCGGCCCGTTCCTCAGGGTCAGCCGAGCCGATGTTTGACGGCCGCGGGGTCAGGCGAGGACCCCCAAAACGGACAAAACCTCCCGCTGCGTTTTCACAGTCAACCCATATAGTAGTAAGGATGCGCGGTAAGCATGCAATGGCCTGGGACGCCCATGCCAAGGCTCTTCGGGCGGGTCTGGCCATCGAGAGTGGTTGAGGATGGGCCGAAGATGACCGAAGACGTAAGGACGCAAGGGCACCCTTAGGAAGTCGATAGTCCTTGCTGTGCGGGTTGACTGTGCGACGCGAGCGTGTCTGGGAACGCTGCCCCCGATCTCCTGCAGATGCCACGGGTGCGGGAAAGGTCTTCGGGGATCTCCTGACCCGGGGGTCGACCCAGACCCCGGTCACTCAAGCCTTGCAGGATCCTGCAAGCTCCATGCAGGAGCCTGCAGAACCCTGCGCCCAAGCCCGGGCCGATGCAACCCTGCCCCCCAGACCCCCGACGTAATGATTTTTTCATTACGTCGACCCCCAGAGGTCCCGACCCTTTCCCCATGACCGGCTTTGCATCCTGAGTCGTTTTTTGACGCTCCCGAGGCCCGGTGAGGGCCCCCGGAGGCCGAAAATTAGGAAAAACCTCTGTCATGATTTTTTCATTACTCGAGGGGGTCTGGGCCCTGCAGGGTCCTGCGACATCCGGCGCCCTGACGGACCCTCGCTTGCGTTGACCCCCCGCCTCTTGCAGCCCCGACAGCTCTCCGCCGTGCCCGGCCGCCGGTCCTGCAGAAGCCACGGGCGGCCCCCGCGGGCCCGCGCCCCCTCGCCGAGAAGAGGCGGCGCCCGGCCGCGGCGCCCGGCCCCGCGCAGCCCCCACGCGCGCGGCCTCGCCGCCACCGCCGCCGCCGTCGCCGCCGCCGCCGCCGCCGCCACCGCCGTCATCCTCGTCGTCGTCGTCGTCGTCGCCGCCGCCGTCGTCGAGAGCCTCGCCGCGCCATCTCCCCGCCCGCGCGCGCGGGGGGGCGCCCGCCCGCAGCCGCAGTGGCTGCGCAGGGCGGGGCCCGGGCGCGGCGGCCAGCGGCCAAAGCGCGGAAGAGGTGTGGGCGCGGACGGCGGCGCGGCGAGGGCGACGGCGGCGGCGCCTGCGGCGGCGGGCGGAAGAACAAGTCGGCAACGACGGCGGCTGGCGGCGGCAACGATGGCAAGTGGTGGCGGCAGCGGCGGCGGCGGCGGCAACAACAGGGGCGGCGACGCCGGCAGCGACGGCGGGGCGGGCGCAGCGACCAGCGGCCAGCGGCCATCGCAGGGCGGCATCGGCGGCGGCAGCGCGGCGACGTCAACGGCGGTGGCAGCGGCGGCGGCGGGGGTCACGAGCGGCGGGCGTATCCATATCCACGCCCGCGCGGTCCGGATTCCGGGGCGCGATCCCGCGGATACGCGTTCGAACGAATGCGTTCCGCGGGGACGCCCCGTATCCCGGAGGCCTGGCCTTCGCGGGTATGGATATGCTGATATGCTTTTCGCCCATGGGGAACGGGGGGGAAAAATGGGGAGGGGTGCGGGGGAGGGGAAGAAGGGAGAAGGGGAAGCGGGAGGGAGGGGAGGGGCAGGGAGAGGGAGAATGATGACAACAATTTTCCCGTCGCAGCGCGGCGGGGGGGATCCGCACGCGCGCGGGGGGGAAGGAGGAGGAGGGCGGCCGCGGAAAGCAGGCGGGGAAGGAGGGCACTCACCGCACGAAAACGTTCGGGCGTTCTATAGATTATAGAATGGGCCTCTCCTGGGGCACGAATCCTCCCGAGGAGGCCCCAGGAAGCTCCAGGAGGCACCAGGGGGCAACAGGAAGTCACATGAGGCCCCAGGACGCCCCAGGAGACCACAGATGGCCCCGAGAGGTTCCAGGAGGTCCCAGGAAGCCGTCTCCTGCTCAAGCCGTCTCCTGCTCCTGCCTCTCCCACTTTATTTCCATCTGTTTCATTCCACCCTTCAGAGAGCTCGGCATGGGC